CGCTTAAGGCGCACCAGTGCACAAAGCAAGGTCCATAAAGACATGAATTAGCAAATTTGGGATGGAGGAACTTGACAGTCCTGACCTCAACCCCATAGAACACCTTTGGGATGAATTAGAGTGGAGACTGCGAGCCAGGCCTTCTCGTCCGACATCAGTGCCTGACCTCACAAATGTGCTTCTGGAAGAATGGTCAAACCTTCCCATAGACACCCTCCTAAACCTTGTGGACAGCCTTCCCAGAACAGTTGAAGCTGTTATAGCTGTAAAGGGCGGGGCCAACTCAATATTGAACCCTAAGGACTAAGACTGGGATGCCATTAAAGTTCATTTGTGTATAAAGGCAGGCCGACCAATACTTTGGCCAATATAGTGTATGCAGGCGTACCTGAATTACAGTTACAAATTTAATGCGTTCTCCGGGGCGTTTCGTATTGCTCAAAATTCGTAAACCGAAAAGTGGTTTCCCATAGCAATGCATTGAAAACCAATTAATCCATTCCGGAGGTCAGAAATAAGTCAAAAGTCTTTTATCTGTTCAAAACGTTTTATACAGTGCACTTTAAAGGCATAAATACCATACAGGACATGATTAAAAATTAATTTGTAAATGCATTGCAAACCAATGAATCTGTTCCGGAGGTCAGAAAAAGTAAAAAAAAAGTATTTTCTGTTCAAAACTCTTTATAAAGTGCACTTTAAAGGCATAAATACTGTACGGGACATGATTAAAAATTAATTTGTAAATGCATTGAAAACCAATTAATCCGTTCCGGAGGTCAAAAAAAGTTAAAAAAAAAAAGTCTTATCTGTTCAAAACTCTTTATAAAGTGTACTTTAAAGGCACGGGGCCAGTGCTATAAACCTCCCAGGCACAATGCATCCTGGGGAAACTTAGTTCATATTGCGAACAAAATCCGTAAACCGAGGCATTGTTTTCAATGGATTTTCATTCGTAAGCCGAAAATTATGTTAACCGAGGTGTTCGTAAACCGAGGTACGCCTGTATATGTATATAAACCAAGAATACATTAATCCATAATTTTGCATTGGAATAAATTAAAACTAAAAAAAATTTAAAAAATAAAATTCATTCCACTCATCCCTAATTCCTGCTCATCATCAAAAATTAATGAAATGAAATAAAGTATTCATAGAGTTTTTTTTTTTTCTTGATTCAGTTTTCCACTTTAACATCTTCATAATTATTCAGCATGCACTCCGAACTTTCCAAAATGGCTTTTGTAAATCAATCACTGGTCCTACAAGCCATGTTGCTTGGCGTGCTTTTCCCTTTCAATTGGTATTCAGAAGCCCATTTCATCTTTATCATACCTATAGCAGGGCGCCAAATCTATTTCAGCGAGCTTTTAGCAAACTAGACATGAAAGATAAGTTACCCCTATGTAATGGATTGATATTCCAGACGCATACACTAAGTACGCTTCATTTATTTATCCAGACGTAATATCCCAACATATCAATACCTCGAATTCTGAGACGACCTCTAGCTGTATTGATAGTTCAGGCGGGTGGAGGGCGATGGGGAAAGAGTTGGAAGAGAAGTTTTCGCTTCATCATGATCAATGCATGGAGAATCCTCCTGAGTGAGCAGTTCATCCTACCGATCATTTTCTGACCCTTTCATCCCATCCCTTACCCCTTCCTTTATTTTCTATTGTTCAGAGAAGTATTGACAGGGTGCAGATCTGACAGGTTGCAGATGGATGGTGAACAGAACCCCCTTTGAAAAAGTTTTTACCTGTTATAACTAAAAAACTTATATAATCACCTAGCACATAAACTGTGATTTTTAATTATGTTCTGAGCCTAATCACCTCAATACCACCAATGTTATACCCCATTGAAAGGGGATGAGTTCTGTCTTACATAATTTTTTTATGTTGTGTGTTGACCTGCATGAGGTTACCATTTTTTTTTTTAAGAATGCTGCCACCAAGTGGTGGTTTTGGGCCACTACAACATGTTTACTGATGTGATTTCATATATTCCTCTGTCCTCCCCACCTGGTACTGCTAGTTAGTTTAGTCTTAGCTAGAACCCTCTCCACTTCTTCCATGTTCCCTCAGTCAGTGTTGAAGGATAAATTCACCTTTGGAACACTAGGAGAAACAGACAGAAGTGCAACGCTCACAGCAGGGAAGCCATTTAATATCAAACCTGGAGTGCATCAGCAGGTGCTCTGGCTTAACAAGGTCCTCAAACCATTACAAGCAATAGAAATGTAGAGAAGAGCCGGCAACTCCAAATCCAGGGAACTCCAAATCCACATGAACTGCTTTATTTCCACATAGTAAAAGAGATAATGCATTTTGGCAAATAGCTTTGATCACAGGCTGTGATAAAGGCTATTTGCTGAAATGCGTTAGTTCTTTTACTCTTTACTTTGTGGAAATAAAGCCACTGCCCACTGCTACAGGGAAGGGTGGATGGGGGGGGGGGGGAGTTTGAGGTGCAGATGCTGGAACATTTTATATGTTCCACCTTAAAAACAGGTGGAACATGTAACATATTCAAAAGATGTAAATGTAGATAAGAGCTGGCAACTCCAAATCTATATAAACTGCTTTATTTCCACATAGTAAAGAATAAAAGAGCTAACGCGTTTCGGCAAATAGCCTTGATCCCTGTGGCAGTCTGTGCCTGTGATCATGGATATTCGTTGAAACGCGTTAGATCTTTTACTCTTTACTATGTATAAGTAAAGCAGTTTATATGGATTTGGGGAATGTTTATTGTGTTGTGCTCATGGCTTAAAGAATATGTAGCCCAAGATTTTCTATTCCTGATATGTGCCTACTGTCAGTCCCGGACTGGCCATAGGGCACACTGGGCATTTGCCGGGTGGGCCGGGGCCGCCTGGATAGGAGAGGCAGCTAGGCGGCACATAGAGGAGCCGCACTGTGCATTTCTCAGTTCCTCTATGTGCCACCCAGCCACCCCTCCTATCCATCTCCCGCATGCCCTGGGCTCCTGTATACTCCCCCTGTGGCCACCCCCCCCTAAACGTCTATACCTATATTTATATCTATAGACACACAAATGTTTTGCATTGCTAATATATCGCTTGCGAAACCACCAGCCCCCAATATACTATGGCCCATGCAGGCAAAGTGACGTACTGGGAAGTCACTGCCTGATTCCACATTTAGGGTGTGCATGTGCGCCCCCTGCTGACACCTGCTTTGATTGCACAGCGGGAATCTGTCAGTAAGTTTTGGCCATGGATTCAATCACAGCCCAGAGCTCAGTGTTGAGAATCAACAAAGAACTCTGCACAGAGGGATTAATCTCTCTGTTTCTCATCCCTGCTAAGCAGGTGTGAATGTAGCCTTATAGCAGAAAGTAAAAAATGCAATCATTTTTTTTTTTTCAAAATGTACAGTCTTTGTTCATGTGTTTTGCAAACACTAAATAACCCAGTGGTGATCAAATACCACCTAAATAAATCTCTATTTGTGTGGAAAAAATGATATAATTTTTATTTATGTACAGTGTTGCATGACTGTGCAATTGCCAGTTAACCACTTCCCGTCCGCCCTATAGCAGAATTACTGCTACAAGGCGGCACAGGTGCGCAAAATCACAGATATATACACGTGATTTCGCATTTCAGGGTAGGGGGCACTTGCACCCTACCCGCGCCGCCATTCGCAGCCACGGCTATAAATCACAGGGTCATGGCCAGTAACTACTCGCCAGTGCCTGGTGATTTCTGAAGATCTCCGACGGGGAGGAGGACTGTTTTCTTTACTAACAGTCCTCCTCCCTGTCAGCTCCGGCACAGCCATCCACAACAGTGTGATTACAGTGAAGCACACAGACACCGCCCGCTAGTAAAACACTCCCAGCACATAGTTAACCCTTTGATCGCCACTCATGTTAACCCCTTCCTGCCCAGTGCCATTAATACAGTGTCAGTGCTTTTTTTAGCACTGATCACTGTCTTGGTGTCACTGGGGATGTCAGTGACACCAAGTCAGTCCCCCCCCCAGTGTCAGAATGTCCGCTGCAGTCCCGCTATAAGTTGCTGATCGCCGCCATTACTAGTAAAAAATAAAAAATAAAAAATCCCAGTATATATACCGCCATTTGTAAACACTATATAACTTTCACGTAAACCAATTAATTTGCACGTACTGGAATTCTTTGTTTAGCAAAGACATGTAGCAGAATACATTTTGGTGTAAATTTATGATGAAATTAGATTTTTTAAGTTTTGTTATTGGACATGTTTAATAGCAAAAAAGTCAAAAATATTGTTTTTTTTTCTCAAAATTGTCATTAAAAACGCAGAGGTGATCAAATATCACCAAAAGAAAGCTCAATTCATTGGAAAAAAAGGATGCACATTTTATTTGGGTGCAGTGTTGCATGACTGCGCAATTGTCCGTTAAAGTAAAGCAGCGCCATAACGCAAAAAATGTCCTGGTCCAGAGACGGGGGTAAATCCTCAGGAGGGCAAGCGGTTCAAGTAGCTCAGTGCCGAAGAGCAAAAAGTGTTTGTGTAAGCGATAGATTCCTTTTTCTAGGTCTAATTACAGTACAATGGTCGGTATATTAATGCTGAGCTTATTGTAGACTTTGTAAGAATATTTATAACACATGGGAGGCTGGAAACATCCAATCTGTAATCGAACCCCCCCTCAGTCCCCTGATACTCCAACAGCTGCATCCAGTTGCATCCATTAGCCTCCATTAATAATATGGGGGAACCTCTGTTATCCCATGAAAGGGGAAAGCAGATGGTTCTTGCCAGAGTCCAGACATCGCTAACAGCTGACATGTTTCCTATCACATCGATCAGACAGATTTGTGTGTTTTGAAATGAACCGAAAGATCCAAGTCTGTTCTAAGAAATTCCTGATATATCACTGGTTGGTTTTATCCTTAAAAAGCCAGTCTATGACTTTCCCATATGGAAGAAAAATATATTTGAAATATATTTTAAAAATATTCTTCCCAAATATATTGACATATATTTGAAATGCTACACTTGGCCATATTCAATATTCAATATAATTTTAAAATATATTTCAATAAAAAAATATATATATATATATACACACTGTATGTTGAAATGCGTTTTTATTACAAAAAATATGAAACATATTTTTAAAAAATACATTTCAAATATACTGTATGTCCAGGGGCGGACTGACCATTTGGAAACTCGGGCACTGCCCGAGGGCCCGGGGTCAGTAGGGGACCCCATGAGATGTCCCTGGTACCTTTTTCATAGGCTTTTTTGAGTTTGGGCAAGGACACAGGGGCCCCATGATCCCCTATTGCCGGGGGCCTCATGAGTTGTCAGTCCGCCCCTGTGTATGTCTTTAAAAATACAAATCTACATTTTTGGAATGCATTTACAAATATATGTTAAAATAACTTTTTTTATATGTTAAAAAAATCTGAAGAATATATTTAAAAAAATATTATTTTTTAAATATATATTTTTTAAATATATTCTTCAGATTTTTTTTAGCATATACTGTAAAAAACTTATTATAACATATACAAATAATATGCTCAGTGATAAAATAATAACAATGACCCTTTCCTCCAATCTGTGAGTATAACAAAGTCCCGAAGATAAATCAAAAGTCCATAATCAAATACCAGAAATTATTTTAAAAAAAAAATCAAATATCCCTTCAAAAATAAAAAAATCAAAAAGTGTCCAAAGATTGTGATAATCTCCTCAGCCTCTTGCAGTAACTTGATTTACCTCAAACAAAACAAAAAATAAAAAACCACATAGTGCATTATCCTTAATAAATACAAATTATATAAAAAATCATCCAGTGATATTTCACCCAAGTGAAAAAGGTGTAAACAACAAAAACATGTGCCAATACACTATGTATAGTGAAAAACCGTGCAAGTGAATCACTCTTTTTTTTGTGCTTATAAACACACGCCACAGAGTCCACTTTTGCCGTCACCAATCCAGGAGAGTCCGAACCGCTTCTCACAGTCACTATTCCCCTCTCCTGGGGAATAGTGACTGGGAGAAGCGGTTCGGACTCTCCTGGATTGGTGACGGCAAAAAGGTTTTTCCATATATGTCATGCGATAAGAAAGATTTTAACACTGTAAGCAGTACCATAAAAGCTTTTGAATTTGAGTGTGTGGCGGTATTACACTATCATTTGTTTTCATACATGGGTATATGGATGGCGGATATGGTGGAGACCGGTCTGAAATACTAGTGTGGATGGATCCACATGGTACTATGAGGTGGAAGTGAAATGTGAGGATATTGGCCGAAAATAACTCATCCCATCACACAGTCTTCTTGGGGATTGTTACTAAGGCATAAAGTGATTTAAATATTGGTAAGGGTATTCACTCCTTACTTTAGTAGAAGTGGACTCTGTGGCGTGTGTTTATAAGCACAAAAAAAAAGAATGATTCACTTGCACGGTTTTTCACTATACATAGTGTATTGGCACATGTTTTTGTTGTTTACACCTTTTTCACTTGGGTGAAATATCACTGGATGATTTTTTATATAATTTGTATTTATTAAGGATAATGCACTATGTGGTTTTTTATTTTTGTTTTGTTTGAGGTAAATCAAGTTACTGCAAGAGGCTGAGGAGATTATCACAATCTTTGGACACTTTTTGATTTTTTTATTTTTGAAGGGATATTTGGTTTTTTTTTTAAATAATTTCTGGTATTTGATTATGGACTTTTGATTTATCTTCGGGACTTTGTTATACTCACAGATTGGAGGAAAGGGTCATTGTTATTATTTTATCACTGAGCATATTATTTGTATATTTTGTACACCTCTAAGGGTAGGGGTGAAGTGTGCTTATACAGGAATTTGGGATTTAGGGTGATTATTTATTATTATTATTATTATTAACATATATTTTTTACATATATTTAAAAATACAAATCTACATTTTTGGAATGCATTTACAAAGACATACAGTATATTTGAAATGTATTTTAAATATATGTTTCATATATTTTGTAATAAAAATGCATTTCAACATACCATATATATTTATTGAAATATTTTGAATATGGCCAAAATTGTAGTATTTCAAATATATTCACACCCATGTGGAAGAAAGATATATTTGAAATATATTTTTAAAATATTCTTCCCAAATATATTGACATATATTTGAAATATACAACAATTTTGGCCATATTCAAAATATTTCAAAATATATTTCAATAAATATATATATATATTTATATATATACACACTGTATGTTGAAATGCGTTATACATTTTCAAATATACTGTATGTCTTTAAAAATACAAATCTACATTTTTGGAATGCATTTACAAATATATGCTAAAATTATTTTTTTATATGTTAAAAAAAATCTGAAGAGTATATTTAAAAAAAATATATATTTTTTAAAAATATTTTTCATATATTTTGTAATATATAAAAAATGCATTTTAACGTGCAGTATATATATTTATTGAAATATATTGAATATGGCCAAAAATGTAGTATTTCAAATATATGTCAATATATTTGGAAAGAATATTTTTAAAACATATTTCAAGTATATTTTTCTTCCATGTGGGTTGCTTAGGCTAAGATGATATCATCAATCAGCTGCAGGTATAAGGAAGCATTTCTTCAGTCTCCTCTCTCACAATAGAAAAAAAAGAATGGAAACTGTGCACAAAAGCTTCATAAATGCAACTGCAAACACAAAGAAGCCTATCCCCTCCAATACCAAATATTGTAACAATAAAGTGTTGTGCTATATAGTGACTAAACCAAAACGACAATATATCAACAATATACCAAAAATATATAAAAAGACATCTTTTTTAATGACGAAACGCGGCAAGCGGAGTCTCCCCTGTGATGTCATTGCGCACGAAAACCATTTGTTGTTAGCCATGCTGGTGTGGTGAGTAGTCAATCGCATGCATATACTATTCAGTTGTAAGCAGGGGCGGACTGACAACTCATGGGGCCCCCGGGCAATAGGGGGTCATGGGGCCCCTGTGTCCTTGCCCGAACTCAAAAAAGCCTATGAAAAAGGTACCAGGGGCATCTCATGGGGCCCCCTACTGACCCCGGGCCCTCGGGCAGTGTGCCCAAATGGTCAGTCCGCCCCTGCCCATCACACTCTCTGTGCACCATACATTTTGCCCAGGACCCCCTGTATGCCCCATTCCTGCAGTGCTACCGGGTTCCCTCCTCTCCTTCCCACCAGAAGCTGCAAGCACACAATAGGATCCTTCAGGATGGAGAGTTGGGGAAGGGTCCCATATGTCACATTTACCAGCCCCTTCCTTTCCCGAATGAAAACAATGAGCGATTGTCACCAATCTCTCACTCTGTTCATTCGTAACTGAAGCCTAACTGAAGCATAGTAATCTGTGTTTCCTTTGGGAAGGGCCCTGTCAGGTTGGCTGTATAGGGCCCCAAGGTTTCTAACAGCTGCCCTGATCACAGTGATCATTTACTGTGCAACCCGCATGTGTTTTTTTTTTTTTTTTTCTCTCTGAATGGGAGAGAGATACATTGTAACTTTCTCTCATTACACAGAGAAAGTGAACAAACGTGTAAAAAAAAAATACTAATGCTACTTTCACACTGATCCGCCGCAAAAATGCATAGGCGTTTTTACTGCGCTTTTACCTCACTGAGCGTTTTTTAAAGGGCACATGACTTAAAACTGCACCAGCAGCGTTTTTGAGGAGCTTTTCAGGCGCTTTCTAGAAAATGTTCAGGCGTTTTTCCACTGATTTTAATGGGAAGAGGCGTTTTTGGGGTGTTTTTTTTTAACTCACTAAACATGCCACAAAGATGCTGCAAGCATGAGGCTTAACACCGCACCGCAACGCCTCAGTGTGAAAATATACATAGATATACAGTGGGGCACAAAAGTATTTAGTCAGCCACCAATTGTGCAAGTTCTCCCACTTACAAAGATGAGAGAGGCCTGTAATTGGCATCATAGGTAGACCTCAACTATGAGAGACAAAATGAGAAAAAAAATCCAAACAATCACATTGGCTGATTTGGAAAGAATTTATTTGCAAATTATGGTGGAAAATAAGTATTTGGTCACCTACAAACAAGCAATATTTCTGGCTCTCACAGACCTGTACCTTCTTCTTTAAGAGGCTCCTCTGTCCTGCACTCATTACCTGTATCAATAGCACCTGTTTGAACTTGTTATCAGTATAAAAGACACCTGTCCACAGCCTCAAACAGTCACACTCCAAACTCCACTATGGTGAAGACTAAAGAGCTGTCGAAGGACACCAGAAACAAAATTGTAGACCTGCACCAGGCTGGGAAGACTGAATCTGCAATAGGCAAGCAGCTTGGTGTGAACAAATCAACTGTGGGAGCAATAATTAGAAAATGGAAGACATACAAGACCACTAATAATCTCCCTCGATCTGGGGCTCCACGCAAGATCTCACCCCGTGGGGTCAAAATGATCACAAGAACGGTGAGCAAAAATCCCAGGACCACACGGGGGAAGCTAGTGAATGACCTGCAGAGAGTTGGGACCAACGTAACAAAGGCTACCATCAGTAACACACTACGCCGCCAGGGACTCAGATCCTGCAGTGCCAGACGTGTCCCCCTGCTTAAGCCAGTACATGTCCGGGCCCGTCTGAAGTTTGCTAGAGAGCATTTGGATGATCCAGAAGAGGATTGGAGAATGTCATATGGTCAGATGAAACCAAAATAGAACTGTTTGGTAGAAACACAACTCGTCATGTTTGGAGGAGAGAGAATACTGAGTTGCATCCAAAGAACACCATACGTACTGTGAAGCATGGGGGTGGCAACATCATGCTTTGGGGCTGTTTCTCCGCAAAGGGACCAGAACAACTGATCCATGTACAGGACAGAATGAATGGGGCCATGTATCATGAGATTTTGAGTGCAAACCTCCTTCCATCAGCAAGGGCATTGAAGATGAAACGTAGCTGGGTCTTCCAACATGACAATGATCCCAAACATACCGCCCGGGCAACAAAGGAGTGGCTTCGTAAGAAGCATTTCAAGGTCCTGGAGTGGCCTAGCCAGTCTCCAGATCTCAACCCCATAGAAAACCTTTGGAGGGAGTTGAAAGTCCGTGTTGCCCAGCGACAGCCCCAAAACATCACTGCTCTAGAGGAGATCTGCATGGAGGAATGGGCCAACCTACCAGCAACAGTGTGTGCCAACCTTGTGAAGACTTACAGGAAACGTTTGACCTCTGTCATTGCCAACAAAGGATATACAGTGGGGCAAAAAGTATTTAGTCAGCCACCAATTGTGCAAGTTCTCCCACTTAAAAAGATGAGAGAGGCCTGTAATTGGCATCATAGG